GATATTTACGCTGCTTCTTTCTGCCACCTTTAAGCCTTTATCGTCCGCTTTGCTTGTGCAAAGTCGTCATATCTTCCCGCATCCTATTTCTGAGTTTTCGCTCAGCTTTTCCGATGTAGAATCGCCACAAGTGCAATTGAAGCGATAAACTACCATGATGTCATCTTGTCATGGTAGGATTCCTTTATCACATTTAATTAATGGATAAATTTTAATTATATATAAATTTTTTGAGGTGATTTTGTATTCCACTGTTCCAATAGGCATTACTTGTTGTAATTTTTTTCAAACTTCGGCCTGTCAGAGGCCACAATCAGAAGCTACACCATTAAGCAAACTCTCTCACAGACTACAACGGTTTCAGAGAGTCTTTGTTGTAGCGGAATCGATTTCATTTTGCAATGTGTGGCGTTGTGGCCTTTACAAGCATTCGGGAATAATAAATTCGAAATTAATCATTCTTAGTCATAATCCAACCTCAATATATTTATCCCTGAGTAGGATCAAAGTAAAACATCGCATGACAGCGGAAATGAACAGGAGTGGCAAATCGTCTCAACTCCTGAAGGAAAAACGATGAGATCTCATAGTAGCCATCGTCATCAGCTTCTTTAGAGGCCCATCAACCGCTACGGTTAGACGAAGGTCCCTCTATGGCTTCACCAAAGACTTTCGTTTTCTGCAATTTTCGACTCTTAATCCACTGTACATCTTAAACTAATCTTTCCATCGATTTCGGGGTCTTTCAATGGAGCGTTTAATCTTTTTAAATAAAGAATTCAATTCAATGTTTTTCCGGTGCAACGATGGTCGGTTCTTTTTGCAAACTATCCAACCGATTGACACTTTAACTTGCTCACTTGTGCATTGGAATCGCATCCATACCCCTATTGCCTACATTGTAGCTACATTGCTCCTTTACCTTCTCTGAATAATAAACCATGCTCTCCCTCTTCTTAGTAGAACAAGAGGTGCCAATTGTTAAGCTCTAACAGTTCATCCTTCTTTCGTCTGACTTCACTGGTCTTACAGTGTCACACATCATTTTCCCAACTTCTTCTTGCATCGCATGAATCCGCGCGTCATCTAGAAGTGATTTACAGTTGCACGATGAGAGCGCTAATAAGCTGCAGTTGTTCAGTCTACAACCCAGGTACAAACACTTTCTTCTTTCATGGAGGAATTGACAATATCTCATGACGCCTGCCAGACGTGCTGCTGGGTGCTGCCTCTGCCAGTTTTAGCATATTTCTTAAGCTTTCATAGAATGCTAAAATTTACCAGAGTTTGAGACTCAGCCGTACGTCGTCCCGAGTACTTGTTTATCACCCCCTACCACATTGAAGAAGCGGAAATAGGAGTCAGGAGGGATGAGATCTATTCGAATTGAATATAGAACTTCACGCTACAACGTTGATTTTGAAATGGCAATTAATAATGCGAATTTATAAGCCATTTTACTAAAATGAGTTGACAGATGCACGACCAAAACAGAGCATGGGTATGGAAATATGGGCTCATCGCCCCGTAGCTTCAGCCATTGGCACGTTGGTACAGTTCATCTTTTCAATTACAACGATTACATCGATCTCCGTGGCTTTCAACTTGCAAAACTCAGCTGGTTTTTTCTCGTTCAAGGTGCAGCGCTGCATCTGGTAGTTGAGCTTGGACATCTAAACGATGATGAAAATCTGCATATTAATGAATATCTTCTGAATATTTTCAAACATTCAACGATATGTGCTCATTCGCGTAATGCAATGGACAAGAACTTATGAACGAAACGAATTTTCGTTTTAATTGAAATTGAACATTTACGTACGATTCAATGCAAAATAGTACTTTGCATATCTGCAGTCCTCTCTTAATTGCATTGGCTACGAACTCCCTCCTTCTGTTTTTCCATATGCAGTACTCTATTTGTTTGCCTGTTATCATTTATGAACAGAATTAGATCTTCAGACTTTAATGGCAGGCAAGAAATCGGTGTGACGTAAGTGTATAGCAAGGCAGAAAGACAACTTTAAGAACACGTGGAACCCTAATATGGTCAAGGTGTAGGTCTGTCGAGAACAGTATTACTATATCTACATGATAACCTCCAGGCTCCGGCAGTTCTGCCGTTAGACTTTTGATTGAAATCAAACACGACGGAAACATTGCTTAGAGAAAACTAAATTGAACATATAAAATTTGTACAAATCACTCCAATTCAGTGAAGTGAGTCATGGAATGATTTGTGACGTAATCGTCAAAAAGTTGAATCCCTTTCGTTTGGACATATTTGGCAAATATAAGTAAAACGTGGTCCACTTTGATTTTCGTTGTGAACCGATCAGATGAAAATCTGCGACATGGCATACGTTCGAACGCCATTGCAACAACTGCCAGGAAACCAGCGGTTTTGGCACCAAGACGTTTCAAGTCATCTGTGCTGGCGGGCAGCAGCCGATGACGGCAAGCTCCAATAGAAGTTCGTTTGGAGTTGGCAACAAAACGAAATACACAGGCGATGATGGATGAGGCAGGCTGTGTGGCTGTGCATGAATGG